CTTGCCAAGACTTGTTAATGTCTGCCAAGGATTCAAGTTGCAGACAGGGGAGTTTTGCACGGTTGCGGTTCATGACTGCCCAAAACTTATGCCAATTATGGGTGCATCTATTCATTGGACTAAAGAGGGTAACGAATATTCTGCATTTGTATTTCTCCATATTGCAAATTTTTTTTCTTTTGCAAAATTAATTAAATTCATGCGAGCTGAACATTTAATACTTTCAATTTTTGTTTTCAATGTTTTGTTCATTTAAGCTCATGAACTGCGGTCTAACACATTCATTCGTTTCACATGCATATGAACAAGACATCTCTACATACAAAAAGCTGCTTCAAAAAACGAATCATTCTGCATTTCATGAAAGAAACCAAACGAACTAAGGTTTAGTTTATCAACTTGTGACTATTTTGGTACTGCTGATACAAATACGATGTAAATTTTCTTCTACCATGTTATCTCACAATCAATGATAGTTCAAGTCATAGAAGTCGAAGAGAAGAAGGATTTCAGCAATGCAGAGCATTATATATTTCCGGTTTTAACATGATTCTGCCATGTAGACAAGTAATTGACTAAGATATCATATATTCGTGCACACAAATCGAAGTTACCAAATTAAGAACTGCATATCTTAACTTGTACAAATAGGTACAGATGTTGAATGTATTGCAATCTCTTTCTTTTCGTAACCTTTATCAAGGAACTTAGAATATTTTATTCCCTCACCTTTCACTTCTCTGTTATATGCAGGGACTTGTAAGGGAGTATGTGTTGAGATACAGCCAATTGGATAACAATGAGGTTCTCAATAATCTTCCACTTTCTGTTCTAAATATTGGAGAGTTTGATATTCAAAGTCCTAGAGTTGAACACAAGCGGCGAGTGATTGTTAATGATGAGCAAGAAGAAGCCAATAACTCAGAATGTTGAGATCAGAAGAGCAAATGGTGGGAGGTCTTGTTCCCACGCAAGTGTTGAGCTTTCAACATCTTCATTCCTTAGAAGTAACTCACAATAAAGGGTTGAAGTTTTTGTTCTCAAGGAGCACACTTGTCCACACCAGCCTTCCCAAATTGGATTCCCTAATCTTATCTGATTGTGAAGAACTGGAGGAAATAATTGCAGAAAATGAGGAACATCAGATCATGTCCAGTGCTGAAGTTCACTTCCCAGAACTAAGAAAGTTGATGGTTGAGAGGTGCAACAAGCTCAAAAGACTCTTCTCTACGTCCACGGGTATTATTCTTCCACAACTAGACTCTTTGTCAATAGCTGAGGCTAATCAACTGGAGGTGATTTTTAGACATAGCAGTGAATGATGCGAACTGCAGTGGGGCAATTGTGCTTTCCAGCTTGAGGACGATAGAGCTAACAAATTTGTCAAATTTGAAAAGTGTTTGTCAAGGATTGCAGATTCAGGGGCAGCTAGCCTCATCATCATATACAGAACTGCCCAAAATTTGTGGATTCAACTTTGGGAAGGGCTCTTCAACAATTGGGAACAGTATCGTATGAATGGAATATTCCATATCATCTTGATTTAGAGTCTTCAAATTAGATGGAATATATTTTTTTAGAATCATCATATATATCATTTTGGTAGCTGTATAAATTACAAAGAGATTTTCAAGGACGTGAAGAAGGGAAAAAAAAATACTTGATGCCACGGACACAAATTGATTTTCTTTCAATTTCAGATCATAATGGATGAAACTATATGGAATATATGTGTGTGTTGTGAGACTTCATTTCACGTTTTTTTTTAATATCTATTAAATATATTCTTTTAAAATTTTTCATATCAAAATTGTGACTATGAAATTTCACCCCCAAAAAAAAAGGCAGTGAAAGAATAATTGCGTGCGTGGCAATTCGCAAACTATATTAATAAAAGATATATTTTATAGGAAATTAAACTGAATCAATTATAAATGGATTTTTTTTTTTTTGCCTGTAACCATACACGATGATATATAAACATTTGTACATCAGTAAAGAGCAAGGAGTTTGCTTGGTATGCTTACCATGTATCTAATTTTTTCAAATCCAAGTTTTAAAAAAGAAACTTTGAATGCTCTAAATTTGATTGATGTGAATAAATTTGTCCTTTCTTAAAAAAATGAAATTGCAATTGCCACAGGTTTCAACGGAAAATTCAAATGTTCAAACGTCATCAAATGGAGAAAAAGAATTGGCAGTAAATGAAGAAAAAGGGACAGTGTGATCTCAGGAGCAAAAGTTTGGTATTTAAAGGATTCAATGGAGCTTGTATCTGTATGGGAGGGTCCCGGTTTCATGGTCTTTCAAAATCTTAAGGAGTTATCTGTGACGGAATGTAGAAAATTGAAGTGTATGTTCCCAAGCACTGTGATCAGAAGCCTACCATGTTTGATGTATCTAAAGATTATAGAATGTGAAGAGTTGGAGGAAATGATGTCATCAGAAGAAGAGCATCACTACTTTCCAAATGCATCCTCCTCTCATTCCTTCTGCTTCCCACAACTTCAATATCTTATAGTCAGGAGATGCAGAAAGTTGAAATGGCTCTTCCCCTCTCTGCCCTCTACTCACCATCTTCCAAAGTTGAATCTTTTGCGGATTCATGAGTGCTCTGAACTAAAAGGACTTTTTAATTGCGAGCTCGAAATCCAAGAGGAAGGGTTTTATGACAACATACTTCCAAACCTGAAAAATCTAAAAATTAGAGATTGTCCCATCTTCTCCAAAACCACACTCGTGGCTCTTCAAAGGTGCGCACATTTGACTTTCTCCTTTTTCTTTTTGCTAGCATTATATTTTTTGATTGCCCACGCTTAGAAATTTTGGCATGGCACACCATACAATTTGAATTTCGAATTTATCTATAAACAGAATTACAATAAAGGGCCAAATTCACAAATTAATTATTATTTAGAATGCTTCTAAATTTACAACTCACACAAATGCTTGTTTACGACATAATACAAGTTTACAACTAATAAGAACAGATTTAACGTTATTTACTACTCAAATACTAACACAAATATACGGCTGCATTAATGAGAATTATTGTCATCAGATTCTTCCTTGGCTTATTTATATACCGTCTCTCCTCCGTGATCTCTCCATTTTCTTCTCAGAAAGATGTAATTGATGTATACATTTTGGAAGAACTGCGGGATGAAACTTTTTGTTTTTTTTGGGAGACATGCTGCATGTTTTCCTCAGATCTATTGTTTAATCTGCTAAATCTATCTCATTTTTCTCATAATTCTACAGTCACGCAGCTAAAATACGAGGCGATGATGATGATGATGATGATGATGATGATGATAGCATATTCTGCTTCATTTGAATGATGTTGGCATGCGATCGACATTGTAGAAGGCATTCATTTGTCTCGTTTTTATTTAAATACTTTGATTTGTTGTCTACATACAAAAATACTACTTTCTCAAGTTTCAATTAACACTTTTGCCAATTTACGAATGATCATTCATTCATTTTCAGTCGTGCAATATTTTTTGGGGCGCAAAATAAATGGATTTTCGTGAATAGTTTTTTTTCCCCCAAAGTACTAGTACGTTTTATAAAGTATTAATATGTTGTGTATAAAAATTTGCAGACTATCAATGCTTTTTATATATGTATTAAATTTATCACATCCTTGTCAATAAAGTCGTTTTTTTTTTTTGGTGAACTCTTGTCAATAAATGTTTTTAATGGAGCCTTTTTCATAATTTTCTTTAAGGTACTGTTTGGTACGAGAGAAATTGAGAAAAGGGGAGGGGAAGAAAAATTTTAATGAGCTCTATTTAAAAAAATAGAGAAATGGGGTTTTGAAATTTAAATAAAGAGAAGAAGTAATATCAAAGATTAATAAAAATTAATTAAAAATTTTTCATCCTTTTTTTTTTATTTTAAAATTGAGCTTATTAAAATTTTCCTCTCTTCCTCTCATTTTTTTTTCTTATACCAATCAGACCTTAAAGAAAAGTAGAGTTAGTCTAACAAACAAATCTTTTCAACATGTACTATCAGACCCATATGATATCCCCCCATTAGTTAGCCTGCCAAGTCACTAACCAATTCTTTTTATTTTACTTTTTAAATTTTATTAATTACTATAATTATATTATTATATTTTATATCCTATCTAAAAATTAAAAAATACCAATATCATTTATTTGATGTTTTCAATCAAGTATTTGAAGGAAAACCAAAAAAATTCATTATATTTTATTTATAAATAGAAAATATTTTTTAAAAAACATAAATGGTAGTCGATGGGTTGACTAGTCACCCCGTCAAACACCCATAACGAGTTAGGTTGGCTAAAAACCAGCCCACCATCACACAGATTTTTTTAAGCCGCACCGCCCATATTAATACTCCATTTTGAGGAATTTCAAATTAATTTGGACATGATGAATTAACGTCACCTATTAGATCCTTAGACTATCATTAAAAGTTAAGGTGCACACTTGTCTCTAAATTATTTTTTCAAAGTAATTAAGCATTCACTTTTTTAAAAACAATAGTATTGCCATAAGGAAAAATCATTTTTGGAATTATATATATTAACATTTATATCCCCCATTTTCATATAATGTTGAGTTTAAAACATCAATTTTAAATTTTAAATAAAATTAAAAAAATTGAAAACATGAAAAATAAATCATCATGATAGTCAAAAGATCAACAAATTATATTAAAAAAATATAATAAAAATAAATAAAATAATGAATATTAAAAATTGAAAAAAAAAATGTATATATTTGGGCGAGGCTATATATCACTATTTGCGCTTCAATTCAAAATATGCTTTCATTACTACATTGAACGTGTAGTAGAAGGCAGAGAAACAAAAGATAGGAACAGACACCATAAGTCACTACTTACAGCTTCTGTTGCCCAATGCAACAGATGTCATAAGACACAACTTACGACTTCTGTTACACAGTGCAACAGACACCATAAGTCACAACTTACGGCTTCTATTGCTCACTATAGCAAACGCCATAAGTAGTCATTTTTTTGGGGAAAAAAATAATAAAACACTCAAATCCAATGATCGCCAATTGCTCATGAACTAATACTTACAAGCTTCCGTGTACCTATGCACATATCCAATGTCAGAAAGACTAAAAATGTCAAAACCAACCTAAATTTCAGCAATTACATAAATTTGTAATAACACATAAATATAAAAGCCCCAGATGCCCTGCCTAATTTGGCTGCCATGCTCTTCAAGCTCAAAGTATTGTTGCAGGAATGAGAGAAACCCAAAGACAAATCCTCCACCTCACAAAATTACTGCATACGAGATGTCACCTTTGAAAAATAAAGCTGACAAATAATATGAAAAAATAACCTTGAAATCTAGAACTGATAAAAGATGTAAACGTAGTTGGACTTGTCCAAATAAGGGATCCAATAACAAGCACTAGGACTCGCATATGCCATATTTTCAATTTATTATAAACATGGAACTGTATAATAAATAATGTTTTGTGGATATACAGATCACTGTTAAATCCCAGGTAGAGCATAACATGTATAAAGCTTCCTAAATTGTGGAGATACCTTAGTATGGTCAAGGGGGTAGTAAATACGAAGCAACCCATTCCCTCCACTATATCTTCTTGTCTAACGAGGACATAACATTCTTTGTCTGACTCTATTTTTACTTCTTCACAGATCATTCTCACTAACTATATCCCAAGAATTACCTTCTTCTGTCACAACCCAAAAACTTTCAAAGCACTCTAGAACTTAAACATAAAAAATAAAAGGCTTTTCTACAACTCAAAAATATGAATGTCTTGAATCTCAACATGGAAAGTAAATTACTTTGTAATGTAATAAGCAACAAGTTTTAAAGATAGGAGTATGTTTGGACGTTTACCAGTTGTATTCTGTGAATTTGATGCCTAAGCACATTGAAGTTTTTTTTAAGAAAAGTATTACTAGAGCTATTCACTATTAATCATCCATAATAGATGGGAGATAATATCATATTGCACATCATGATCAAGCAAAAGTGTGTCAATAAGGAGAAAAGACTCCACTCAAAATACTTTACAAAACAAATATAAAATAGTATAGTCATACCTTTTGAAGACCATTGATTCAAGTTAATAACCATTGCATTCATGCAGAAACTACGGCCCACGTTATTCCATATAAGAGAAACAAATAAATGAATGAATAATCTACTTACTCAACAACTTGATCATTTCCATAGCAGCTACAGATGCATCGCCTCACGGCATGGAGAAGTAAACATCAAAGCCAATCCCCTTATCATTCCAATTATATCTAGCAAGAAAGGCCCCAGATAGCAGCTAAAATTTAATAAACAAATTTCATGATCAAAAGTTTAAACAACTTAATCTTAGAAAGCATATAAAATAAAAACAATTCCAGCAAAGGAAAAAGCCCATGAAAAAGAAAAGAAATGCCACTTAAAGTTAAGGAACTTGGTTAGTTTAAGAGGATTGATAAAATTTTTAGGAATTTGAGCCAGGAAGAGCTCCAAATAATGCAGAAGAAAATGGCCACAAAAGGTCAGTAGCAACCAACGCACCCTCAGGAAGAGGCAACAAAAATGTTTCCTTGATATCTCAAAGTAAATAATAGGCATATATGTTATATTGGAGTTGTTTTTATGCATTTCTAATTTTCAATGAGAACAAAATTTGTACAAAGTTGCGAAATTGGTGGGTTTTTCTCAAATTAACCCAACATGCCTTCAAGAGTTCCAACACATAAGTCAATGCATTTTTCATTATGGAATCAACCCAAGCAAATTAAATGATGACTTAGAAACCTAGGGCACAACACAAACAATGGATCATTACCTCTGTTTTTATAAAGCAAAACTTTCAGTTCATTTTTTTAAAATGTTTTTTTAGCTATGGCCTATTAGTGTTTATTGATAAAATATCACTAGTTAATTAATAATGTTCTTGAATTGAAATTCTGAAACTCCATTTCTATGAGGAATCAAGATACTTGTATACGTACTTATCATCTAACATTCAACAAAGTTCAAACATAAGCTACTATATCTACACTAAATGCATACAGCACATGTTCCACATCGTTGACAATTCATCATCAGCACCATTATCACTATCTCCACCATGCAGAATATCTATTAAATAAATTGTCCTAGTATTTTAAATTTCACATAGATGTCAAATACAACCCAGTTATACAGCAAACTTCAGCAACAGACTTCACCAAGAAAAACAAAAAAAAAAAATGATTTCATTGCTTTGATTATACAACAATCAAATTGTTTCTTAGCTGACCAAGCAATTTTAACTTAGAATTTTTTTTTGGGTCAAAATGGAAATTAAGTTAAAATGAAAGTCAAAATCTAACATTGGAAATTAAATGAATTTTTGCATTCGGATATTACCCAAAACATCTGACAACCAAAACATTTGCTATTTCCTTGGAATCATAGCGAATCATCTTGTTCATAAAAATATGCTGCAGTTCCGACTTCGGTGTTCAGGATTTTAAAAACAGATTCACATAAAATGGTAACGTATGATTTTTTTCTAGATATCAAATAGGAAATAAACTCTAAAGAAAATATCATTAGATGCTCAACGCCCCCAAAACATTATCTTAAAAAAAAAAAAAAACCATGACCGGCAACTTTGTTTCAATAGTATTCAAAAGTTGTACAACATGAATTATATTATTACATACCATAATCGTCAAGTCATATGATATTTCAACCAGATATTTTTACAAAAATCAACACTAAGTTAACCAATAAACAGAGAATAACAAAGAACAAGAATACAAATATCATCTGAATAAAGAATTAAAAAAATCAACACCTGGCTGAAAAAATAACAAAGAACAAGAATAAAAGAACCCAAACAAAAAAGAATCCAGAATGGGAAGCAAAATCGAAAAACTTACCAAGAGCTACGCTTGAAACCAGTTGTCGTGAATAAAATGAAAAGGAGCAGCCAGAGATGGAAGAACGAAAGGGAGCACAACCATGAATAGAACGAAAGTAAAATGGAGTGCAGGAGCCGACACTCACGGCGAACTGAAGAAAACCCCTGATGAGACCCAAGCTAGGCGAGACCCAACGAAGATCCACAGCCAGAGGCAAACGAAGATAGAACAAAAGCAAGGCAAAAAGTGATCGAGCAGAGTGGAGAGGCGGCAGCAGAAAATAAGTCAAGGAGGGGGAGCGCAAAGTTCTCTTTTTTATTTTATTTTTTGGTAATATGTGATTAAAAAAATTAAAAATACTTACGGCTATAGGCCCAATCCAGATCCGACGCCCAAGGAAAAAAAAACCGGACCGGACCGGCCGGTTCAACCGGAAAACCGGTGAACCGGTCTGCAGTCCGGTCTGGTTTGGATGGTGAACCGGAGGTTTAATGAACCGGTAAAAAACCGGTTTAACCGGGAAAAACCGGTATTAAACCGGGTAACCCGGTTCAGTGGGTTACCCGGTTTGTTTTTTTTGCCTTTCAGAATCCCAAAACGGCACCGTTTTATTTTTTTAAAAAAAAAGCTCTTCTTCTCTTTTCCTCCGGTCGAGTAACTCACTAACTCGAATTCCCTCATTTCCCTTCCTCTCCTTTGCGCAGCGCCGGCTCTTCCCTCCCAAGCCAAAATCGCCTCCTCCGAGATCCCTGTTCCCTGGCGTCGTTGGCTGCAGAGGTCCTTGTTCGGCCGTTCCCCAACATCGCGGTCGCCTTCGCCTCGTCTTGCTTCAGCTTCACCACTCGCATTCGCAGAAGGCAGAATCGCAGAACCGAAAGTCAAGTCGCAGGCCTCCACCTCGCAGTCGCATCCCATGTCTGAGGCTCTAAGCTCGCAAGTCTCCCTCGCTCACCACCTCCTGCTTGGCCTTCACTATTAGCATTCGCAGAAGGCAGAATCGAAACTCCAAAGTCGCAGGTCTCCCTCAAATCCCGATCAGCGTTGTCCCTTCGGTGCATTGAGTTGTGGGTAAGCTCGAAAATTTTCCCTTTCAGCTAGGTTGTGTTGTTAGGATTAAAGAGCTGCCTTTGTTTGTTCTTTCTCTCTGGTTGTCGAAAGGTTTGGGAAGGGAGAAGATAAAAATTTTCCATTTGATTTCTGAACATTTGAAGTAGGAGAAGAAAGTAGTTGATGAATTTTTTTTTTGCTGAAATAATATAGATTTTGTTTCCTTTGGAGATTAGATGAAATTGATTCTGGATATGTAAAGTATAAATACTCTTAGCTTGAAACCGAAGAATATACAAATTTGTCTGTTTCAACTTTCAAATATTGATTAGTACTCTTCTGGTCAAGAAAAATATATTGATTAATAATCAATATGATATTTTTAATATTATGAATTAAATTATATTATTTTAATATGACCGGTCCGACCCCGGTCTGACCACGGTCTGACCAGTAACCCTTAACCCACTGTCTTGACCGGTTTAATCTCCGGTCCGGTTTTTTGTTCCTTGCCGACGCCATATATAAAGGCTTATGAAGACTTAGACGCGGTAGATTTGGAATGGACATGCAATACTGGTCTGCCTTGAACCAGATGCAGGAGAATAAAAAATGCCTCCTTTTTATCTAAATATAAAAAAAAGTTACAAATTTTTACTTGCACAAGTTATAAAATCAATTAGAAACAAGGTTCTTATTGAAAAACTAAAAACTTTAAACCATGTGAAAGGAAAATTAAAAACTAATTAAAACTCAAGTACCTATATTTTAAAAAAAATTAAATTTTTTTAAAAGGGTAAATTTAAAAACATTAAAAGTAAAGTAATTATATGTCTATTTCACACAGGAAAAGATATCATATTTCTAATATATACAAAAATAATAATTTAAAATCATTTTTAAGTACTTGTGGAGTCTGTTCAGTGTTGAACAAAAACCATAAGTTAGCTTATAGCATTAGGTTAGTGGAGACCTGAAGCGAAAAGTGTTTGTTTTTGCTAAACTGACCCCGATGTGGGCCTAGTAAATAAATATATTTGGGCCAGTCTGCATTATCACATCAATATATTACACCAAGAGCCATCTAAGATAGAAAACGTTAATGGGTGGTAGAGGCGGATGGTATGTGAGATGAATCTTAATTACTACTATCTCCTATATTTAATATACTCCTCTAGTCCTATTTATAGAGCAAAAAGAGAAGATTTTTTTTTATATATTTATAAGTCACTTTATTAAATTTTTACCATGAATGTACTACATTGAGTATTCATTTATTATAGTATAGATAATTATTTTTTTTAAACATGTATATATTAAATAGCGGTAAAGTTAGAAAGTTGCTATATTTTAATAAAGAGTTAATGCAACTTATAAATCAGCTTGCACCACCACTAGTTTGCGACTCTGGAGAAATAATTTGTGATAATTTGGTTAGATGATGAAATTTGTTCAATCAATCTTGCCAAAAACTATTTTGCTCAAAAAAATGTTTTTGCCAAAAACTAGGCAGCAGATGATAAAATTAGAGAGTATGTAATTAATGTGATTTTAAAGAACAAGACGCTTAGTATTTGTATATCTTTTTGACCACCCAGTGGATTCATATATCAACGAAGTAAAAACAAACTAGAATTAAACTTTAGATGATAATTAGATTAGAATTTATGCAAGTATATAATAAAGCATTTCTCATAATGCAAAGTTATTCTGAATTCAAAAATAACGCAGAGAATTTTACTCTTTTTCTTAAAATTTATATTTCTTTTTATGATGGATTATATATATATATATCAATATTAATGTCTCAAAAAATCAATATTAATATTAATTACAAAAAACCCATAAAATTCAATATTGTTTTCGCATAGAATCTAATTTATTGAAGTGGAACCAAAACAAGTCTAAAATAACGCAAATGACAACCAAAAGAAAAGACAAAATAAAGTTAGATCCGACTTTGGTTTCCAAGCTCATCAACAAGTAAGTTCTCTCGTACCTTTAACATTGGGCCCAATACATATTTTGTATTCATTTTATTTCAAAAGGTTATGACACGCCTATAATTCAAATTGGGTACAAAGAAAAAAGAAAGTTGTATTTTGAGATCAAGCTTTCAACTACAGTAAATAAAATATATACATCTTTCTGGCCGAAAAACAGGTAAAGCTAAGTCTAGATATCATTGGCTTTCTGATAAAGTACATGTGATATGTTTCTTATTTATATTTTTAAGTTTTCTTTTACCAGCATTTATATTTTTAAGTTACATTGTTGTTATTTTTATAAGTCTATATAATTCAAAAGTTGATATTACATATTTTTTTCATTTTACAAGATAAAATATTAATATTTAGTAAATAGACTTACTTAAATAATTTGAGTATATTAAGAAAATTAAAAAATTATTTAATTTTAACAAGTCTAACATGATAAAATATCCTTATATAATATTAGATTATAAATTTTTTAAAAAGTTAAATAAATTAACTTTAAAAATAATAAATATAAGGAAAAAAAGGTATTTTATCAAAAATTTTATGCATGAAAATGACATGAATCAGGGTGTGCATATTTTTATTGTTAATGACAATGACAGATTAATTTTCGTTTTTGTTGAGTATTGTGTCAAATCTGTGTTGAATATAATCAATTCCAGACTAAATTATACCATGATAAGGAATCACGGTTGATGATTCCTCCTATATATGTTGACGCTAGTTGTGTCTTTTTGCGTACCGTTAGTGGCAACACGACGAAGCATTTAATATGGCCACATCAAAGTCAAACACCTAATAACTCAACTTTCTTTTTGACCAGGGAATAACCCGACTTTCTAATATTAAAAGTAGTCTTATTATTCAAAATCTATAGGTAACGTGATTTGTTAAAATTTTTAGCATAAAAATAAATAAAGATAGAAATATAAAAATAAAAATAGATATTTTCCACATGCATTGCAAACGGAACGAAATATATATAGGTACTTTAGCATGATTAATGTAAATTTAAAATTTAATGTACCTTTTTTAACCTAAGAACAATTCATTTCTAGCTAATTCAGTCATACCAAGTAAACCAGTTAAAAGCATTAACTTGATCATAAAAATCAAGTGATTTTCAATAATATTCTTATTAATTATATTAAATTCCGACATCATATTAATTTTTACTCTCTCACATACTGCCTATTAAATATAGGTACAAATATATTATGTAGATGGAAGAAAATACTTGATAGTCCTTAAAACTATCAATCAAATATCTCATAAAAATAATTTTAAAAAACTTTCAAAAAGTGCCCTATATACAGGATATGATGAGAGAGGGAGAGAGAAACTTCAAGAGATGGCAAAGTTGAGGGAAGCCAAGGGCGTGGTACTAGCAATCCTAATTCTGTAGGTCTTGTTTGGGAGAACATGAAGAACCTGAGGAGCCCATTTTTCACCTCCTTTTTGAAGTTACATTGAGGAAGGCTTGTGTTCATAAATTTGGCCCTCAATGAACAATTGAATTATCCTATTCCATTGATCAGCAATGTCTATAACGATAAATTCAACTCACAATTTATGTTATCCCAACAAGACTTAAGCTCCCCAAAACATAAAATTTTTCTAAAATTACATATTATACTAACTTCTCCTAATTTTTGCAAGAATTAAGCAAATCTGTATTCCACCTTTTACTTGATAAGACCGACTTGTGTATATTTTAAAAATTAATAAACCATGAATTTTAATAAAATGCAAGAGAGGTTTATATAATTTATTTTTTAGGTAAAGCTTAAACGATCTCAGATAAAAACAAGTATGAATAATACGACATACTTAAAATTAATCTATCTTAGAGGTCTCCACCAAGCAATCTTAGAAGTATATAATAATTAGCCGACTTGAAGAATGTGTTGCTTCATGAAAGTAGGGGACAAAGTTCAAGGATACCTAAATTGAAAAATAAGATACCAACAAGGGATAATGGGCCATATGAGCAATAATTTTATTTTACTATTGAGTCAGTTTTAAGTAAGATTTTCGATCTGCAACTTTGGAATCTAATTCGAGTTCAAAATATTACTCTCTATTTTATATTTCCTATCACATGGACCCAAGGGACTACACATATTAAAAAACTGGAGTTTTAATATTTAAAATAACAAGCAGGCCAGATCATA